TGGATGCGGGCACAATGTTCTTTGATGGCTCGTTAAGACGGCTTATCGACTTCTTGAGAAGAATTCTAAGAAGAAAGTAAACCTACAGACATCGGTCTTGTTTAACAAAATCTGCCTACTATTCTATATGTAGACATATCAGTCAAGTTGCTGCGCCTCTGAATTTTTATAGATTCAAATATGTTTTTCTTGCTTTAATCTGTTCTTATAAAGCTCAAACCTTACCATTATTTTGCTTGGGTTATGTAGTGATGCAAATTTGTTGACCGAGAAAGGCACTTTCGAGTTCACTGGTCTGATTGTCGTTTGGGATATAATTTTTGTTCAATAATGATTATGACAAACAGCGAGGTTTTTGTTTCTAGCTGAGGTTAAAGGTATTCTGGAAATGCTGAAACTCTTTAAAAGTTATTTGAAAATAATTATATTAGATTTCTTAGTTTTATCTTTTTAACCACCTCTATTGTCATTTAGCTACGCAAAAATAAGTAAAAGGACTTGTTTGAGGATGTTGGTCATCATATATTTAGAATACATTGCCCTTTGCGGTTACAGATACAACGACTAAAAAAACTAAAATTATAATGTGTTTTATTAGGTGGAATTTGTCAGCTATCTAATGTTTCCATTTTTGTTCACTCGAACATGTTAGAAGTTCACGTGTTAGAAGATTCAACAGTGCGTCTAAGAGTAATTAATTTCTTTCACATTGAAAAGCAGTCTCCATGTATGTAAAGGAGGATCACAATTACGTCAAAATAATCCATTATAATACAGCTGGCACGTAATACATTCCAACCGATAGTACCTAGGGTACAAAATAAAGGGTATATGTTAATGTTTATAACAAAAACTTGTTATAGCTTGTTAATTTCTGTCCTTTTTTCTAGTACTTTATATGAAAAACACACATTCATTTTGGTACTCGCTGTGTTAGACAGAAAATGTTACTTCTTTAAAACAATATATAAATAAAGACCTACCTGTTTTCCGAAGTGGAAAATCGTCGTCATATTTGCCAAGTAGAGGATGCCTACAACGGGAAGAAACGGTAGATGTTGAGCCTTGGTCCAGAGATTTATATTGACGTGACCTGCTGCCCCGTTAGGGGTTAGAAATTAGGGGTTAGTCACGGTCTGGTTATGGGCTCATGCATTAAGTCTTCAGTGGGATAAAGATTGAACAAATATTATTTGTGCAGAGTGCCTCATAAGTCTTTAGAACAGTGGTTCTCAAACTTTTAAGGTTCGCGTACCACTTTCTGTTTAAACTTTTTTGTTTGTTTTTCAAGTACAAGTGCAAGCCTACTTAAAAAAACAAAAACAAAAAACGAAAAGCCTAGCAGCAAAAATTAATATTTTGAACACTTACCCTTTATTGGGAAAGATATAATTTTTTTCTGGCACAACTGAAGAATATGTGGTGCGATTTTTGTCAATTTGAAGGGAAGAAAATACTAGCGAGTCTGTACAGATGTGAGGAGAGTAGTGTGTGTATGTGTGTGTGTGTGTGTACGTTCGCTGAAGTTGGAATTACTAGCAAATGTACCTGTGTGAGTGATCATGTGCCCATCTGGTGCTTCTTCAATCTCGAACCTCACCATAATAAACCCATAGGTAGACCAAAATTCAATTATAAAATAGCAAATTGGAATGATTTCGCAAACATCAATAATTTACTACCGATTTCAAACAACAAGTCGAGTCAAAAAACCGTTACTGAGTGTCTTACAAAAACTGCAGACCAGTCCATACCAAAGCAGAAACAACATCAAATTCACAATAGATGACAACTACTTGCACAAATGATAAGTATAATAAAAGAACGTAGACACTTAAGAAGAAGATAAATGAACAATAGAGACCCACATATTAAAACGCAGATAAATAAACTAAGAAACAAAATACGAAACGAATTAAAACAGTTAAGATAAAATAAATGAGATTCTTACTGCTCACAATTAAATGAACGTATAAATCCAAAGTAATTCTGGACACATTTGAAACTATTGACAAACATTCAAAATGTCCATAAAATCTCTCCAACACTAAATTATACAAACAAGATAGCATATACTAACATACAAAAAGCAGAAGTTTCAAAGAACATTTGAGAAACACATTCAAATCACATAACAAACCAGATACGAATACTCATTATTTTAATACAGTAAATTAGTATATATTACAAAACAAACACGTTTACACACCAACTTCTCCAGCTGGTACCATTAACCCTCAAAATTTAAAACAAACATACAATAATGATCTAGCTAGCAAAATCACAAAAAAAAACGATCACAAAAATCGAAGTTCTCACATCCATAAAACATACTAAAAACAAAGCACCGGGAGAATACGACATACAAGCCATTCTTCTCAAAAAGGACACTCATAAATTGATTGACCACCTAACAGCACTGTTTAATTTATCCCTCAACTCAGGTTATACCTCAGCCTCTTGGAAGCAAGCAGATATTCTTATGTTTATAAAGAAAGGTAAATCAGCGAATAAACCGGAAAGCTACTGTCCAATCAGTCTGACCAGCTGAGTTACTGACCAATCAACCTGGTCAGCTGTATAGGCAAAATTTTAGAAAAAATAATAAGCACTAGACTCTCCACGTTCCTAGAAATAACGACAAAATTACCTGAAGTACAAAATAGTTTCAAAAAATCTCGGCAAACTATAGATAATTTAGTGAGATTAACTGAAACCATAGTAGATAGCTTTAATCAAAACAAATGCACAGTCGTCTGCTTTCTCGATATAGAGCAAACATTTGACATTGTATGGCATAATGGTCTTCGATTCCGCATGAAACAAATGGAATTATCAACAGGTATTATTCGTTGGTTATCTAACTTTTTGGAAAACAGAAAATCTAGAGTGAATGTAGAGGGCTTTTGCTCAGAGTACTTTAATCCTGAAGCAGTGTTTCCCCAGGGAGAGGGAGTTAGCTCTATCCTCTTCATCATGTATGTAAGCGACATGCCATTAACAGATTCAAATTTTAATCTTACTTCTCAATTCGCAGACGACGTGGCAGCATGGAAGAGTTCTAAGCCCCTTCAATAGCAGCCACAATCTTACAACCAGTACTAAACTAAATAGTTGAATATTAACCAAAACATGGAATTAAAATAAATGTTCCAAAACCAAGCTGGTACTATTATCTAAATCGATCAAAATACAATTACACCCACTCTAATTATATTTACATGGAATTCGCCTACACACTGCCATATCAGCAAAATTCCTGGGATTAACATACGATTCTAGATGAACATAAGTAAACCATATCACCTAATTCAGAAATAAAGTATGGCAACGAGCAAACTATGCTAGGAAAAATAGAGGAGATCAAGAAACACAGCTTTTATTCACAAACATACAACCAATCTATGATAGACTCCTAGATTGCTCGTTCAGATACTTTGACAAAAATCTATATAAAGATAATTTAATAAGATCCATAGATCGCTATATCATACAAGATGATGATAGCCCTAAATATCTCTATCTCCACTCAGTATGTACCATAAGAAAAATGCTACCAATGCCAGACCATAAAATATCACTTAAATTAAGGTATGACAAGTGTATTTAAAAGGGTATTTATGTGAAACACGCGTCTGATAAAGTAATATAGTGTGAAGTGACGATTTGCCAACTGAGCTGTTTGTGAAGTGTAGGACTATTACATAGCCAAATTAAGACGTGACAAAAAGCACTAAATGGTATACGTATTACATTCATGGGCATGGCTCTGAAGAGGGAAGTAGGATAAGTGTAATTACCAGTGAAGTGTTTGAGCCTAGAATTTAATTGTAAATAAATAAACCGTCAAGGAGGGAGGAAGAGGTCTAGATAGCACCTAACCCTCCCAGGTCACACGATCACACACCTATTATATCCCGTGCGATACACGGGGAGAGATTTATGAAAATTGGTTTTTCCCACAATATACCAGTGACAATATAAAGATTAAAAGTACATAAGAATAATTATTCATGTCCACTGGGCTTGATCATTTAAATAACATTCTATTTCTATTTTAGTTATTTTATCAAAAAGCAATAATTAACAAGTGACTTAAAAACATCTTACTTAACATAAGTGTGTCTATCTTGAAAGTATGTATAAACAACGCGTGAAAAAGAATCCCCTCAAATGACTGATAGGATTTGAAAACGAAATCCAATTTTAGAATTAATGTTTTACCAGTTATGAATATAAATAGTGTTTCTGTTTCTGTCTAAATATACCAGTAATGATTGAAAATACATAAACTGTATGTATGCCCCAGAGACAACTGCAGAAATTCCATAAGTACCGCTGGTGGCCACCCCCACTGACTGATCTATACTTAGCCAGTCTGTGTATTTTGAAAGAAAAATATCTTGTTCTTGACACACCCCTAAACATTTGTAGTTCATTAAGCCATATCTGACGGGTCCTAGAAGGAGTCAGAGGACAAAAACACACACACACACACACACAAACAAACTTCTTTCAAATTATAGTAGGATTACAAATTCTATAATTTTTACATAAATGTTTTCGCGTACCACGGTTTGTGAATCCCCGTTTTAAAAGATGATCTAATCAACAGAAGATTAGTTCAGGTAAATGTGCGTTGAAATTCATAAACACGATTACTGCGTTTACAAGATATAGAACAACAGGGTCGCTTTAAGTTTATAATATCATGTAAGTGAATACAAACATCTAACCTTATAACTTTGGTGAAAGACATGAAATATAAATTCAAAATGTTTCAATTTCCTTATAAAATTATTCTGTTATAAACATTCCCGAGTGATGCTTCACAAGATATTACTTATAGGGGGGATTAGAAAACGATTAATTAGCACTGTTTCTGTGTGTACTGAACAAAACACAAGATCATTTATTAATGAGCACTGTTTCTGTGTGTACCGAACAAAACACAACATCAGTTATTAATTAGCACTGTTTCTGTGCGTACCGAACAAAACACAACAACAGTTATTAATGAGTACTGTTTGTGTGTGTACCGAACAAAACACAACATCAGTTATTAATTAGCACTGTTTCTGTGTGTACCGAACAAAACACAACAACAGTTATTAATGAGCACTGTTTCTGTGTGTACCGAACAAAACACAACAACAGTTATTAATGAGTACTGTTTCTGTTGTGTACCGAACAAAACACAACAACAGTTATTAATGAGCACTGTTTCTGTTTGTACGGAACTAAATACAACATCAGTTATTAAGGAGCAGTGTTTGTGTGTGTACTGAACAAAACACAACAACAGTTATTAATGAGCACTGTTTCTGTTTGTACGGAACAAAACACAACATCAGTTATTAAGGAGCAGTGTTTGTGTGTTCACCAAACAAAACACAATATCAGTTACTTTAAGAAAGGTTTAATAAAGTTAAACATCTGTCATTTTTACTCCAGTAATTTTTTTTCTAGAGGCTCGTTTACAGAAAGAGAAACTTGTGAAAATCGATCAACGTTAGGTTTTTACCATACATTTAAGAAGCTGTCTGGGGATAGCTTGCTTGTTCTAATATTCGGCTAGTGAATATACAATCTGTAGAGACTAAATTACGATTGTTCATTATACTAAGTATTAAGTATACTTAGAAATAAAGGAGTAAGCACTTTAATCTTCAGTGTAAAATGAAACAACGTTTGTTCTTCCTCAAAGAGTGTTTAATGTGCAAAATTTTACTTTTTACGTCATTGCGAAAGCAGCTATGCTAATTTAGTGTCCTTTCCTCATTTGTTTTAATTATATTTTCCTGTATTTATCCATCTTTCTTCAAATCTAATTATTCGTTAACACAAAAGATATTTTAACAGAAGAAATTACGCATCACAGTTAGAGGAAGGATCTTACCAGTCTCGCAGGTTAGGCGGTGAATTACTTGTACTACCAACGGCAGCTTCTCTCTGTCTTTTACTGAGAACAAACTCTTGAAGTCTTTGTTTTACTTCAGATGAAGCTACAGCACCTGTAGATAGATGGATGTTGTTGAGTGTTTTGTTTTTAACGGAGGAGATAGATAAGTTGTGCAAAAGTGAAAGAAAGATCGAATTTGAACAGCTTACTTTGTTCATGTTTCTCTTTTTGCTTCAAAGATTCAAGTTTTTCATTTTCTCTTCTTTCTATCTCCAGTTTCTGGTCCTTAATCCTCTTCTGCTGCTCCAGGTATTCCTAGTGAGCAGAAAAATAAACTATCAACTATAAATATTTTCTTAACCCGATACTTGCATATTCACTCACCAGACAGAAACAATTGACTACAAACTTACCCATATGTCTTGACCTTTAAAAGTCACGATTAATCTACAAATATTTTCTTAGTCCGATACTTGCATATTCACTCACCAGACAGAAACAACTGACTATAAACTTGCCCATATGTCTTGACCTTTAAAAGTCATGATTAATCTACAAATATTTTCTTAGCCCGATACTTGCATATTCACTCACCAGACAGAAACAACTGACTATAAACTTGCCCATATGTCTTGACCTTTAAAAGTCACGATTAATCTATAAATATTTTCTTAGCCCGATACTTGCATATTCACTCACCAGACAGAAACAACTGACTACAAACTTACCCATATGTCTTGACCTTTAAAAGTCAAGATAAATCTATAAATATTTCCTTAGCCCGATACTTGCATATTCACTCACCAGACAGAAACAACTGACTATAATATATTTCTGATAGTTCCATTATGCAGAAATAACTGATTCTGACAAAAAAGTAAAACGTGCCTTTATTCTTTCCTGTATTTGTTGCTCATGTTGTTCTGCAAGTTGTTGTTGTTGTTGTTGGAAGTGTTGTAGCAGTAACTGCTGCTGAATATGCTGCTGCTGCTTGAGTTGCAGTAGTTGTTGCTGGAACTGCATATTCTTGTCCTGGTTCATAATGGAATTATTAAGGTTGTTAGTGAAATCCTCCATCTGTTCTTGAATCATTCTCGAATCTCCTACATATCCAGCCCCAATGATGTCTTAAAAGGAAGAAGAGATTATATACTTATAAATTATAAGCTTTGAAACATGAATACTTATATACACATGTAAATATTATATGTGTTTAATATGTATATAAGTCTGCAGTATAACCAATAACTTCCACACATTTTCCTTAGTTGAAGTTTGTTCATTATTTAGAGCTGTTGATTTATTTCGAATCCAGATGAAGGAAGAATAAAAAAAAACGAACACCACAATCAAAATATTCTTGTATAAAAGTAATAAAAAAAGCATATAATTTTTATAGTTGTAAATTTGTTAAAGTCAGTTCAAACAAAATAAATGTTTTTAACTTAAGTTTGTGAAACCTTTCTTTAAAATAAAACAACTCTGTCTTATAAGCAAGTTCAATGTGTATTTATGTATATTTTTGATATATATCTATATTTAGTTCAGTGTTCTCAACGGTCAAGATAGGAAACATAATGTGAACTCAAGAGATTCACAAACCAAATTCTAAGTAAGTTTTCAAACACGTCAAGAAACTCAAATGTTAATTTTTTGTATGGATTTTGTGATTCTAGTATTGACCCAATACAAGAAGTTAACTTCAAGTGGCTGATACACAAACATAAAATTTGTGTTTGGGGGCATTTCTCGTTAAGTAACATAAGAATTAAACACCTAGACCCAGAAGTTACAAAAGTATGAACAAATAAAGATCACTTAACATCACTACAGAAAATAATATGATTAAAATATTTGATAATCTTATATTAATTTACGGTCTCAGGATTACTGATTTAAGAAATAAAATCGCTCTGATATTCTTCCGGTTTTCATTTACACTTACCTTTTCTCTGAATGTGAGAATACGCTGAGTTTATTTCCATGGTTGAATGAGAACCCAGGCTTTCTGAAAAAAAAGTATTGAACTCAATGAAGAAAGTAGCTGTGAACAGTGACTTTACTAAAAAAACTGTAAACTCAATGAAGAGAGTTACTGTGAAGAGAGACTTTACTGAAAAAAGATGTGAACTCAATGAAGAAAGTTACTGGGAACAGAAACTTTACTGAAAAAAAAAGGATGTGAACTCAATGAAGAAAGTTACTGGGAACGGAGACTTTACTGAAAAAAAAAGGATGTGAACTCAATGAAGAAAGTTACTGGGAACAGAAACTTTACTGAAAAAAGATGTGAATTCAATGAAGAAAGTTACTGGGAACATAAACTTTAATGAAAAAAAAAAGGATGTGAACTCAATGAAGAAAGTTACTGGGAACAAAGACTTTACTGAATAAAGTCGTGAAGTCAATGAAAAATTTTACTGTGAACAGAGATTTTACTAAAAAACAGCCGTAAATACAATGAAGAAAATTATTGTATACAGAAACTTTCTAAAAATAAGCCGTGAACTCAATGAAGGAAAATACCGTGAACAGCAGCTTTACTAAAAACAGTGGGTATACTTACCGTAAACTTCCCGTTTTTTTGAAGGGCATGGCGAATAGTGATTAGCAGTGCGCTCGAATTGTGTATTCAAGGGTTATTTGTTTGCGTATTGTTGCCGCAAATCTGCACTCTACACTTTGTGGTTGTGACGATCAAACTCCACTATTTGATCATACAAGAGTTGGTGGCAGTCGCTGTTATTTAGCTGCCTTCTGTCTAGTCTATCATGTCAAAATTTGGGGTAAGCAAGCGCAATATAGCCCCTGTGTAGCTTTGCGCGAAAATATTAAAACTTAACAAACTTTTTGTTTTTCAAATATTTTATATTTCCATGACTGAGTAGGATTGTTTGTTTGTTTCTAATTAAGCACAAAGCTACACAATGGGCTATCTGTGCTCTGCCCACCACGGGTATCGAAACCCGGTTTTGTAGCGTTATAAGTCCGCAGACATACCGCTGTGCCACTAGGGGGCGACTGAATAGGAACCCAGGCTTTCTGAAAAGCAAACTTATCTCACTAATATAAGGATACCTGCTTGTAGCAGGAGTTTAGTGAAAATAGTGGGTATAGTTGCCTCAAGCATTACTTTCCATTTTTCAAATAGTCCTTCAGTGGCACAGCGGTAAGTCTGATGGCTTCTAACACTAAAAACCAGGTTTTGATACCCGTGGTGGGCACAGCACAGATAGCCCATTGTCTAGCTTTGTGCTTAACTACAAACAATCAATGTTTTTTCAAATATATTTAAAGTATTTCAGTTTGATACTTAAAGCAGGATATTGATAATGATAAACGTTAAAGTACGGCCTGTTTGTGACAAAGTCATACCAAAGTAACAAGTTTTTTAACTTTATTTTGTTCCACAATCTATTTTCTCAACAACTTTTATAAATACATAGTACATCATAAAAGCTTATAATAATTTAATTTTAGGCATTGGAGTTTGATTAAAATTGGGGAACTATATTAAGTAATACAATTTTGCTTATCAACTTTCATAACCACTTTGATGTAATTATAGCACCTTTGCTGTCATAGTAACAAATTGCGGAACTTTTTTTTGTAAATCTTATCATGCATCAACTAATTTAACCTTATTTCTATCTATTATTCAATTCTTACTGTAACATTTTTATAACCAACTTGTATATTATTTTTTCATAGCTTAAGTATTTATGTAATTTTTAAACATTCACGTAATTAATTATATTTATAGTTTTTTACCTCTAACTGTATACTAATAGTATTACATATATTGATTGATTGATTGTTTGGAATTAAGCACAAAGCTACACAATGGGCTATCTGTGCTCTGCTCACCACGAGTATCAAATCAGAGTCCGCAGACATACCGCTGTGCCACTAGGGGCAACATATATTGATAACTTAATCTAAGATAAAAAGAAAACTTGGTCCCATTGTTTATCGTAACAAAGTTTTAACTGAATGTAGATTTGGCGCCAAAATCACGAATTCCAGAAAAAAATTATATAATAAATGAAACGTTTTGGTTCTGCATTTTAATTATATCATATTCTAACAGAAAAATGTATAACTGAAGTAACTTATAGATATTTAGAATGAACATTTTATGAAAATAACGTGAGGAATGAGAATTTCTGTCAGTTAATGTTATTACTCTGAGAATATATATATATAAATATGTATAACTTAAAACACTATTGTTAGAAAAGCCCAAAGTCTTTATAGCATAGTTAAACATGAATAAACTTGATTGTAATATTAAACATTCAAAACTGGAGAAGGTATAAAGGATTCACATTTCCATAATCTTAGGTCCCTATGTTGGATCAGTAGCTACGATCATACCTAAGCGTTTAATATTAGATTCCTGCTGATAACAGTATTACTTATGTTGAAATTTCATTTATTATAAAGTAATTTATATCTTAATTATAATAGAAATAGAAAACACAGCAAAATAAAAGAGAATTACCCGTTAAACAATTACAGCATTGTTCTGCTGCAGAATAATCAAAAGGGCAACATAGAAATAATACCCAAGTTATCACATAGGATTAATAAAGTTGAGAGAAAAGCCGAACTCCACTACTAAGTTGGTCTCACATGTAGCAATCATTGGGACATAACAGACTGAACACAGTGACGTGTATTAATTACAAGAGGCACTAAAAATATATACAGTGTCCCTCTGACAAACATAAAACTAACAGTGTAGTATAGAACTATTAGCAGAAAGTTAGTGTCAATTCTCACGTTATTATAATATAGGACTATGAGCAGAAAGTTAGTGTCAATACTTACTTTATTATAATATAGAGCTATTAGCAGAAAATTAGTGTTGATTCTTACGTTACTATAATATAGAACTATTAACAGAAAGTTAGTGTAAATTCTTACGTTATTATAATATAGAACTATTAGCAGAAAGTTAGTGTCAATTCTTACGTTATTATAATATAGAAGTAATAACAGAAAACTAACTAGTGTCACTAGAACTTATGAAGAAACTCTAATGTCTATTTGTTCATTAGCTTTTCATAAATGCATTGAAAACTACAGTTCAAACTACATTATTACGTCAATCTTTATATATATATATATAAATCTGGTTTGTATGTTGAAAACTACAGTTCAAACTACATTATTACGTCAATCTTTATATATATGTATATAAATCTGGTTTGTATGTTGAAAACTACGTTGACCCCACACAATGCCAGAAATAAACAGTTGGAAAAAATAAAATAAAAACTCTTGTTTTTGGGTATTTTTTCATAGTTTGTCCAGTAACTGTGAACCAACGGAATGTTTAAATCAGAGAACAAAATTATATATATAAACATCGAGGCTGCATTATATAAGTCAGGGTTATGTGCAGACACCCTCTGTTAGTTTTTTTTCCAGAGATTGGAAAGCATATTCAATCACTTACTTACTCTTGTGAATTCCTCTCACCATTTTTTCTAAGATGAAAAATATCTAATCGAATCTATAACAAAATCCTAACTCCGTGGGCACAGTCGATACTTTACTGAACAATCTACTGATAAATAAATTTTCAGAATGCAAATTGACATCACACACCTTCACACTTAAATAATGCTTAATTGCTCTAAAAGCAACGTAATTTATGATTTATGTTTATTGTAACTTCTCAGTTGTTTGGGCTACTCAGCATCTTGTAGCCCAACTCAAATAGTTTTTATTGTCATTTTTTTACTCCTGTGAATAGTGTTACTGTGTAAAATGGCAATTGTGCAAGAAAAGGCTCAATGCGTCATTTGATTTGCAGAGACCAAGTCGATGACTTTGGTGCAGCATAATTACAAACGCCAGTACAGGAAAGAAGTATGGAGGTATGTTAAGGACATCGTGCATCGCACACCTATAGCAAACATCACGGAGCTAAAGACCGGGAAAACTGTGGACAAACGATATTTTTCAATCAGAGAACAAAATTATATATATATATATATATAGTATCAAGGCTGCATTATATGTGTCAGGACCATGTGCAGAGACCCTTGGTTAGGTTTTTATTTTTTCAGGGAATAGAATGCATATTCAATCGCTTACTTACTCTTGTGAATCCCTCTCGCCAGTTTTTGTAAGATGAAGAATAACTCGTCTAATCTGTAATAAAATCCTAACACTGTCTCGACTTCTTACCTAGCGTAAAGAAAGATATATATATATATTGCGGATGTCGAATGCTCCCATAAAAATGCTCAGCTGATTTCTGAAAGTGATACACAATGAAACAAAATCATATGTAGTGTCTGATATTTGGTCCTGTGTGTGCTTGGTGGTGCACAAAACTTGGCAACTTGGCTTAACTTCAAGATACGTTTCACAAAATATACGATGAAGTTTGATTAGAAATTCTTGCATTAATCTAATAACACAAGCAACACTGACTAAGAGTTACCAAACCTCATTAAAGAGTTATGGTCAGACCTGCAATAGCAAGCCAATACAATGCTAGTGAATCCACTGTTTAATTGAAAGAATGATGCCAAGTCCTCTCATAGGAATAAAATGTTTTACTGCCGGTCTAGGAAAACATCAACTGTATACAAACAGTGCTTTCCACTCAACTTCCTTTGTTCGGCGAACAACAGCAACCGGATCTCGAGAGTGACTCATATTTTGCGTCAAGCAAGGAATGTATATGTTTAATACTTTTATATGTTCTTATTAACACTACCTTGTAAATTCATTCATTCATAGATGCGAGATAGATAGCTAAACAGGCAAACAGACAGCCAAATAGACAAGCAGGCAAGCAAGAAGATAGAAGAAGTGGTTCTGTAAACCTAAAATTCCAAAGCATCGTGGTCTCTAAATATAATGATTACTATGCTTTACTTCGATTCGTTAATTGTTGTAACGAATAAATAACCTCATAATATACATGCATGCATCAATGTGATTTGTACAGTTATATTTTACATGCACGAGTACACGTACACAGCA